TTTTGAAAAAATCGTGCCCGCCATCTTGGATTTAGAAATGAGTGCCATATTCGTAATGAGCACCCCCAAGTACCTCGAAAATGATACCCATATTGCATTTTTTTGAAAAATCGTGCCCGCCATCTTGGATGTAGAAATGAGTGCCATATTCGTCATGAGCATCCCCAAGTACCTCGAAAATGATACCCATATTGCATTTATTTCAAAACTCGTGTCCGCCATCTTGGATTTAGAAATGAGTGCCATATTCGTAATGAGCATCCCCAAATACCTCGAAAAGGATACCCATATAGCATATTTGAAAAATCGTGTCCGCCATCTTGGATTTACAAATAAGTGCTATATTCGTTTTTCATCGACAAAACCGAGCACATCTGTAGGCACCTGATCGACAATGTCGGGCAAATCTGTAGGCACCTTTAACTTAATGATGAGTTAAGCAAGATACAATTTCCCCACTTTTGAGGGAAATGTTATTCCATGGCATCATTATTTGTATATTTGTGTGCGTGCCGACGAGCGTAGTTACAAGTTGCTTACGCCTACATGAATTTGGTTTTTGCCTCACTTGTGACAGTTCGTTTGATATGAAACTATCATTCTATGCGTTATTATTCTAAGGTTGAATAACTCTTCAGAGCACTCACCGTGGTACAGGCGATAGAATACGCTAAGAGACGCTATATCTCTGCGAAGCTGTAACGACTCCGCATACTCAGTTACATGAGGATCTGTTTGTTCTGCCCGGATTAATGAGATTGTGTTTCGATAAGTGTGATAACTCCTTAAATTCAAATAAATACTAATTTCTACCGTTTTCATCAATCAATTGTAGACTTGTCCAAACACTCCAATAAAACGCCGTATTAACCAAACTGATTTAATAATCTATTCCTCCAACAATTTATATTAGAACTTTAAAATATACTCAACAAAATTTCTAACCTCAAAATACAGTTATGATGACCAATCTAACTTGAACATTTGATGAAATTCGTATACATAAATTTTTCTTTCACCTAATGTCATTGCCTTCTAAATCATTGACTTACAATTATATGGACGTCGGGTCCGCGCTAAAAAGTGTCCGAACTTATAGGGCGTTAAAATCGTATACAGAGCGTCATTCACGCTTTAGTCTTCGTTTGTTTGACTGACAGCGAAGCAAGCAAAATTAGACAGTACTGCGATGACATTACAATTTAAATTCAACGTTTTAGCTTTTTCATATTCCTTTACATGTCACTACGTTTAAATAGGTTGACTTGGGACATTTTTTTCGTGGTTTTTGTATTAGACCCGTCGTCCATTTATTTGTAAGTCAATGTTCTAAATCCCTTCTTTTTCATTTCCCGCCATTTTTTCGCAATTAGGGAATTTCAAAAGCAATGTCATTGGCTCGTCGAACCGGTAGATAAAATGTTCGGACCAATCACAATCAAATCCGACGCGCCATCTACACAGGTACATGTTGGAAGCCTAATAATATCAATTAACAAACTTTTAAATGAATATAATTATGGAATAAGCTTATTTACCTTTTTAATATTTAAATAAATAATTAATGAAAATAATTTTTCTATTTTACGTTTATATATTTCTTACAGAACAAATAAAAAATCGAAAAAAAATAGTTTATTTGTTATAATTTATTAGTGTTCAGTTTAATTGCCGAAGTCTCCTTTTAAGCATAAGAACACCTGTGCCAGGAGACCCCGCTCTTCATATTTCTTAGGTGTAACGTAACAAATAGCTTACACTTACTTATACTATTTCTTAGTTGGACAGAAGACAAAACAACAATGATACAATCTAAATGTGTACAGAAAACAACATACTCAGTTGTATGGCGTTTTTGCATTACCGTGCGTTGCATTAACATTTCAGCTTGGTCACAGTCTAAATTGAGAAACCACTTTGCTGTCATAGATTTACACTCTGTAACGATCTCTTGTATACATATAGAACTTTATTTATTTGATTGTAAATGTGTGCTGATCGTCTTTTACACTGTACACTCGCAAACACAGTCTTTATATATAATATAAATATATTTCTTCTTCACGACACATGGTAACAGAATACATGTATAACAAGGGCGGTAAGAAGGTAATTACGATCTGATAGAGAAAATTCAAATTTTGCTTTAATGTCCCGAACATTTGCAATTGCTGTTCGGCCCATGTGGCATATAAAGTATGTGAGGTGCTAGTGAAAGTATAGGCACATAGGACTTGTAAACTTTATGTCTTGAGGTGCACTGGCAAAGTGGCAAATTCGGAGATTTGCCGAATGGTACAGCAATCTTTGTAGGTGTTGCTTACCACCAGGCGAACGACTTTTTTCATAGAAATATAAATAGAAATAGAAAACATTTATTCCTTAAGTAGACAACACAGTACACATGCATTTTGTGATAATAACAATAAAAATAGTACTAACTACAAATATATAGAAGAGTACAACGCGTGTGTGCTGTGCTGCCAAGGAAACCGTGACCCACTCAGCTTAGTGTCGTCTCACTTATGGTGCTACGACGCTGATTTTCAGCGGATCCGGCAACAGAACACACGTGACACGGAACATAGTAGCCGTGACAGATTGACAATTATGTCCTTAAAACGCACAAAATATGTCAGAACGAACAGATTATTGACACAGTACAAGAAGTAATGACGTTACCACTTACATAATATATGCGTTAAAATGTGAAATTAATTTCATAAAACTGTATAAATATTAGAGTTATTCATTTTGTGATATTAGTTAGGAATAATATCACAAAATGAATATAAATGTAGACAGTTATGTATTTTAACAGTAGACATTATTACGTCACATATAATTTAAAAAAAATTGGTATAGTGAATAATTGAATAAAATTGACATACAAAAAACAGAACCAAACAAGGAAATATAATAAAAAATATAAAAAAATAATCTAAACAATAATAATCTATATAATATGAACATAGATGATCCCGACACATCAACAGCCATATTGAGATTGTTGAACATTTATTAAGTAAGCCCTGAGTAGTCTTTTAAAAGTAAAAATCGACGTGTCATACCAAGTGTCGGGACGAACAAGTCGTGCTCCTGATAGTAAGCTACACGTCTGTCCATAACAGGTGCAGTGCCACTCAGAGCTTTAAATAGCAAAGATCTGAGGGGCACTGCCGCTGCGCCGGTCACTTTGAGACATAAGTTGACAAGTCCAATGTGCCTGTAATTTCACCAGCACCCTTGCCCTTCAAAACCGGAACACAGTAATGCTGACATTACTGCTTGGCGGCAGAAATAAGTAAGGTGACAGTACTTCCCTGGACGAACTCTTTCACAAGGGCCTCTACTGCTACCGAAACTTATTCATCGCATCACTTGATATAATAAAAATAATTATACCTTGTCCTCAGGCGTAACCGAAACTGAGCAACAGAATATGTTTACCGTACTAGCTACGATCCTCCACATAGGCAACATCGAGATGACGTCACAGGACCCGGATGGAGAAAGCGACGATCTAGAAGACGGCGCTTTTATTAGTGTTAGTATTTACGAGAATAAAAGTTACAATAGCGGCATATATATCTTGAGTCAGCTGAGTTATTTTAGCGCATACTATTTATTTCAATCGGAGAACCTTATCTCGCCCAATTAGAGATCGCTATTCCGCCCAATTAGAAATCGCTATTTCGCCTAATCTGAGATAGCTATTCTGCCCGGTGAAAAATCGTTATTCCGACCTATCTGAGATCAGCGTCAGCGTATTCCAAGGCAGCTCTTCTGCCCAATCAGAGATAGTTATTCCACTCAACCACAGATAGCTATTCTGCCCAATCAGAAATATCTATTCCGCCCAGTCAGTGATAATTATTCTGCCCAATCAGAAATCATTTATACATTATTTACGCTTTCTTATTTCTCCTACAGTCAAATGACAAACACTTAACAACAGTCTGCAACCTCCTCGGAGTGTCAAAAACGGAACTCCTGCGCTGGTTAACCCACCGCCGCATCGCCTCCGCCCACGAAGTGATCGTGTCCCGAATGGACATACAAAGAGCAAACTTCGCAAGAGACGCTCTAGCTAAAAGGATATATGGTGAATTGTTCGCGTGGCTTGTCCAAGCTGTCAATCGGGCGTTAGACACTGGACATGCGAAGAAACATTTTATTGGTACGTAGATTTTCGAAATATTGGATAGCGTCGACTAATCTAGAGAGATTTTTTGCTATATACTCTTCGAAAATCGTAGAAAAAAGCCTTTGCTGCTAATGAGTGCAAAAATAATAGTTGCACCTGTAATAATGTAGCTCAAAAAAAAGTGTCACGAAAAACAGTTAAAGCTTAATATGATATTAAGCGTTAAGTGTTTTTCGCGTTTCCTTGTTAAGTTGGCTTTTTTTACTTGTACCCCTTTTCACCAGAGCCACAGAATAATCTATGGTGTGTTTCATATCATCGTTAATTCTTATTTTATTTAATTATAATAATTTTTAAACTTTCTGTTTATGGTAATTTTTTTTTGTTACAAGAATCGTTAGTAAACTTTATAAACCACTGCAATATGGTTTCGTTTTTGGAGAACTAAGTAAACATTTCAAATTTTCCACGCTACTCGTAGTCGATAATCATTTGTCGCCATTTTGATATAGATCGCTAGATGGCAGCACATTGAATGTAATTTCAATGTAATCAAAACGTCGTTACTTGCAATAATAGGTATTGAACCTTCAACGATATATCAACAATGTAAAGTTTAAATTATATTGACTGTCCGGAATTTGTTATTCGAAGCATTTTAGAAGGTGAGGTGTAGGGGATCACTTGTCGTCTCCCGCAACCTAAAATACGAACAGGCAGAAAAAAATTGACACCATTACGACGTCGAGAAGCACCCGATAACCACTGACGTGGCAGTGGGCGGCGCGGCGCAGCATTAAACCGCTGGGCAATTTTCAAATTTTGGGATAAATGACAATTTAATAAATACAAGGTTTCAGTTGAAAACCAAACTTTTGCAGGTTCTATAGTCTGTCTATCTATCTATGTAAATATTATGTCGACTATCGACTGAATATTGGTCACGCTTATGGAATAAATAGCCGAACTTGTTACAACTGCCTCCGTGGCCGAACGTTTACCATGCCGAACTGCCACGCAGAGGTCCCAGGTTCGATTCCCGGGCCGGGCGAAATATTTGTATGACCTACATTTATTTCTCTCGTGAGTTTGGGTGTAATTTGTGGTTGTCTATGTGTGTGTCCATGGCACCCGCGACACAGGGTTTCCCTATTGCGGGGCTATGTTGAGTGTGTGCGTTATTATATTATATTATATATATTTGAATCATCCTCGACCCATTATTCATCCAATCTCGTAAAATTCCAGCGGTAGTCTTACGTAACTGTGCGCCTGAGTTGACTCCTGTTCTCACACGCCTGTATCGCTTCTCACTTGAGACTGGTGTAGTTCCCAGGTCGTGGAAGCTTGCAAACGTGCAACCTGTGCCCAAAAAGGAAAGCAGAGCTGACCCTGTCAACTATATACCTATCTCAGTCACTTCCATACTCAAGATTATGGAACGTGTACTCAACAACCATCTCCTGTCATACCTTGAAGACAATGACCACCTTTGTGATCGCCACTATGGATTCCGAGAGGGCGATCTACCGGGGATCTTGTGTATGCCTGTCACATATGGAGCAAAAGCAAAAGCAAAAGGCTTGCAGTGTCTTAGGACATTTCTAAAGCCTTTGACAAGGTCTGGCACGCAAGCATTTTAAGCAAGCTTCCATGTTATGGGCTTCCTACTGACTTTTGCGATTGGATCTCGGATTTCTTGAGTGAACGTACCATTTGATTGGTGGAGACTCTTCCGAACATATAGCGATAGATTTCCGTACTGTCTGCAACTCTCTTTCTGCTGCATATCAATGATATCTTAATTCCAGGTACCTTTGCGTATGCTGAGGACAGCACAGTTGTAGATAGGTACTTGGCCAATGCTAGGGTCAGTGGAGAGGAAAACCAGTCCTGTCGAGAGTCCATGGTTAGCCGTTTAGATTTGACGCTCAAGGCAGTCTCCGATTGGGGCGATGCCAATCTTGTCACATTTAACGCTACCAAAACGCAGGCGTGTATTCTCCACTAAACGGAGTCCCTTTGAACTGACTCCGACTTCTTTGACTTACTCCGTCTTCAAAAAGACAGACTAAGAGAAATATCTCCATATAAAAATTATGTGCAAAGTTAGATATTTTATTCTTAAATAATTTGTTGTAGGCTTTTATTTTAGAGACCGTCAGAATGACTGGTCGCCTGTGGCGCCTGGCACTGAGTGTATATTCAAGAATTGCTACCCATTTGCTACCTTTGCTAAATAATTGCTGCCTTTGATATATTCTGAAAATTTTAAAATAATTGACATGCCTTTTTGATATCAGGATGGCTGGTCGCCACTTTGTTCAGCATGAAGGGAGCAGATTTTCCAGAAGTATGTGTTACCAATAATTGCTACTTTCACGAGTTAAAGGTATACGCCTCCTATCTACATTGGTTAAAAAATATAAACGATTGAAAATTTTACGATAGATAGGTAGCAATTATTGGTAATACATACTTCTGGAAAATCTGCTCCCTTCATTCTGAACAAAGTGGCGACCATCCATCCTGATATCAGAATGGCTGGTCAATAATTTTTTTAAATTTCTCAGAATATATCAAAGGTAGCAATTATTTGGAAAAGGTAGCAAATAGTGCCATATGTAACAAGCGACCAGCCATCCTGACGGTCACTTTATTTTAGCCTGTTTTCAGAATTAGCAGTTTCGGAATTAGCACATTCTTTAGACAGTATTCTTAGGCGTATCACGTATTTTATTTGTAATACCGTTGTTTAGTAGTAAATACCTAAATCATTTGATCTAGTAAAACAGTTTTTCCCGCTTGTCCACTGGTAATTCGCCTTAACATCATAATGTTAGTGTGACTTCTGGCGACTGTGGTTCTGATAGTCGAGCCCTTCCATTCTTGATTTATACCACGCATGAAAAAAAAATGGAAGTGCCTTAGCCTCGATTACTATCAGAATCGCTGTTGAAAACACGCACACAAACAAATAATAAACACTATGAAATATTAATGATGATTGGTCGTAGTTTCTAATCTAAAAAGATGTAACAAAATTCTTGACAGTTAATATTTTTTTATCTTTACTCAGTCACTATATCCTAAATTCAATACCTTTATTTCAAATTACGACGTTTTGATTTTATATTGAAATTTTTTCAGCGTACTTGCCATCTTGTGGCCATTGGCTGGACTATAAAGACTAACATATGAACGAATAGAAAGTAGTATCTTTTCGACAATGTCTTCTTTACCGCACACATTGCTTAATGAATTTTATTTCGATTAATTAAGTTCAAAATTAACAAAACAAACATGAAGCATTTTTCGCTAAGCTTTTGTTCGCTACTAGCGTGGAAAATTCGAGGTGTTTCGATAAAACTCGCCCATACTGGAATAATGTGTACTTTCGTTTGTTACTGTACAAAAAAATCAATTTCGATAAACAGAAAATTGAAAATTTATTACAATAACGCTTACCGATGATACGAAATACCACCACGGATAATATTATTCTCGCGGCCATTATTTTTTCTTTAAAAAAATTGCACAACAAACCATTTTTGCGAGAATTGCGAGAAATAATTGACTCAACCATAACTTACTTACGCAAGCTACGCTAACTAACCACTTCTGATGTATTTATTGTTCTGTGGTTTATATTGATGTATGGATTTATTTCCAAAGGTGTCCTGGATATATACGGGTTCGAGACATTCGAGATTAACTCGTTCGAGCAATTCTGTATCAACTACGCCAACGAAAAGCTGCAGCAGCAGTTCAACTCTCATGTCTTCAAGTTAGAACAGGATGAATATATCAAGGTAACTCCAACTGTGACGGTGCCTATTCTCCTTCGTCGTTATCCCACCTTTATCACCCTCTTTACTGGTTCCTGGCCACTTAGGAGAGTAGAACCTGTAGCCAAAGATTATCAGTAATCAAAAGGCTCGATTCGCATCATTTATTGTAATATAGGAATAGGTGAAGAATAGACAAAGGAAAGAAAGGGAAAGGTAGAGGCAGTAACAAAACAAAATAACGATATAAACACAGGTACGATCATGTAAAAACACTCTCTACTCACTCACTCACACTTCCTACTTAAATTACATACAGGTTAGACGTGGTAAAAAAAGGAACTTATCCCAAAAGGGCCTGTATTTTATTCAAATGTTATGCTTTGCAAGCAGTTATGTTACATGATTTTCAATAGTATAACTGTTCAGAATTGGATATGAAGTCGACCACGTCTACTCGCTTCGGAAATTTAGTAGAGAGTGGCAACGATCGAAGGAAATAAAAAATGATGAAGAAAAGGAATTAAATAACGATTCAAAATTTCATAGTATATGGCCAGCAACCAGAGAAAAGAGTGATAAAAAGGTGGGATGACAATGAAAGATAAAAATGGAAGTAAATTAATTTGCCACTCCGCGAACCCAGTGAGAGATGAATATTTTTTTATACAGTTAATTTTCCGACTCTCCCTCCGCATAAACTTAATAAAAAACGCAAGTATACCCGACACGTGTTTCGCCTCTCCACGAAGCATCGTTGATTGTTCGACACTCGGTCGAAGAAACCGGAAAAAAAATGTTCATGATCTATGAGACGTCACTTTGACAGTGACAATTGTTTGTTTACATTTTTGGACTTCAATTTCATCTCAGAGTATAGCTGCTCATTTACATATCTACATAGTGGTTACATAATCTCGCAAAAGTACATACTTCTAGGTGCTTTGTCGTCAATTTGCAAAATTTTGTTTGAAATACACTATTGATTTGAAATATGAAGTTCCATTTTTGTCTTTAAATAAAGAGAAACACAAAAATTTGCAGGGAAATTAAGTGTTTTTGTTGTAGAACCAATTAGAAATTGATATGGATAGACCCTGAAACAAAAATTATATTACATGGTGTAACAGTTAACAATTTTGACCAACAGTGCTTCAGTTCTAGTCTAGTTAAGATTTTTATATTTTACAGGAAGAAATATCCTGGCAAATGATAGACTTCTACGACAATCAGCCCTGTATAGACCTGATAGAAGACAAACTGGGCATTCTAGCTTTACTCGATGAAGAGTGCAGAGTCCCACAGGGGTCAGATCAGGGATTTGTGTCGAAGCTACATGATAAATGTTCGAGGTACCCGCATTTTATGAAGCCGAGGTTTGGCAATGCCGGTGAGTTTTTTGTCTTTAGAATTTTTCTGGTTAAAAATACATACAGACAAACAGAATAAATAGATACACAGAATAAAAAGATAATTTACTTTTATGACTGAATGAGTCCAGTAAGTCTTGTAAAATAACGCAATTGTAATTCATTAACAACTAACATCACTGAACGATTCATTACAACAATTAGCTAATTCAAAACTAATTCTTTAAAAAAAAAAACCAAATAATTTGAACTAAATCTAACGTTTAATCAATTATACAATGGCAGCAGTAAAGCTCCTTGTGAAAGAGTTCGTCCAGGGAAGTATTGCCACCTTACCTATTTCTGCTGCCAAGCTGTAATGTCAGCATTACTGTGTTCCGGTTTTGGGACATGTCAACTTATGTCTCAGGGTGACGGGCGCAGTGGCAGTGCCCCTCAGATCTTAGCGATTTGAAGCTCTGAGGATACTGCAATTGTTATGGACAGGCCTGTGGCTTACCATCAGGCATACGACTTGTTCGTCCCGTCACTTGATATTTAAAAAAAAAAAACAATTTTCATAAACATTGAAACAAATCTCTCACACTTGAATATAATGGGCAAACACGAATATCAACGTACAAATAACATAATTTTAAGAAAATCAATAATGCACACGAACAGTAAATGAAATAAGTAACTATCTCACGAAAATGGCGAACGACGGCAGCAATGTGTGGCCCGATACGCCTTTTTTAGTTTTGAGCCAGTAAACCAGACTTCTGGGCAGGGGAATAGCTTATAATATTTTACTTGAATCCCTTGAATCAACGATCGATTCAATATAATTCTGATTCTCTAATATTAAATCGCGTCTATTTGTATTTATTTCTTCATATAATCACTATCCCATGTTTCGGGTTTTTTGCAGATTCCAAAGTCACGGCTAACTGACGTTTGAAAAAACAAGTACACGCGATTTAGCGATATATATTTAAGACGACATGTCACTTCTCTTATGTCTTGAAACCAAGTCGGATTCAAGATTTGAATCGGGTTGGATTCAAGACCTAGAATCCAAGGTCAAATCAAAATAATTTTGATTCGGGAATTGTGTTAATAATTGCTTTTAAATAATTGTTCAGACTGAGAAAAATAGCTTTTTTCTACCACGTCATTGGTCGAGTGGCATGTACACCGGTTTTCATGGTGTTCAAGGTCATCTTTGAAGTTCCGGGTTCGATCCCCGGCCGGGTTAATGTAGAAACTAACTTTTCTTTATTGTCTCTGGTCTGGGTGTTTGTAGTACCGTCGTCGTTGTTTCCGATTTCCATAACAAAAGTGCTTTAATTAAATTTTAATTGAATTGATATTCAATTATTTTTTGTTCAATTATTATGCAAGAAGACGTCGGTCGGTTCGAATCCGACCGGATCGAAGGAATTTTTTCTGAGTGTTTTTTCTGAGTGTTCGATCTTTGTATTAATAATTATAACAAAAAAGTGATTTAGTTACTTACTTTGGGATCATACAAACGTCAAATGATGACAAATGTCAAATAAAAGAACAATCATCATCTTATTTAAGAGTCAGACTCTTGTCGGTGTAGCCTCCTCCACTCCTCACGGTTTGTATTCAATTCCTTGACCTCTTAATAACTGTTCATTTTGTCCTTCTTTTTTATTTGTTCACTAATACGAACAAAAAACAGGGACAGCAGAAATACGTCTTTGTATTAAATTTGACCCACTTCTGCTGTTTTTTTCGTTCCATACAATGAAAATAATCCTTACAATTATAAAATTGACTTACAAATAAATGGACGACGGGTCTAATACAAAAACCACGAAAAAAATGTCCCAAGTCAACCTATTCGAAATTTAAATTGTAATATCATCGCAGTATCGCGCTGTCAGTCGAACAAATGAAGACTAAAGCGTAGTTTGGCGCTCTGTATACGATTTTAGCGCCTTACAAGTGCGGACACTTTTTAGCGCGGACCCGACGTCCATATAATTGTAAGTCAATGCTTACATAAAACTGAGTCGATCAGCTCTAAAAAAAATTAATAAATTTTGTTCATTTTTATGGACAACTCGCACTTGATCAAATAATTGACTATTGATATAGTGGCATATATTTTTATTCAATTAAAAGATACTTTTATTACTTTATTTGTATCAGTTTTCTCATATTGTTAACTTATTGTTACCTCTTACAGTAGGAAAACTACGAATGTCATATTAAATGTATGGGAGCGTTTAATGTTAAAATATTGGATATTTCTAGAATTATTTTTAAAAAGTTATCGATGTCGATTTATTCATTAGGCATCGAGTATATAACCAGAAATATAGACGAAATAAGGGTCATCCATCCCTGGCTACTCATCAGGTAAATGGACCTTATATCACTTTTAAATATCAACTCTCGTTTGCGCTGAAATCACAAATTAGAAAGCTCAACAACTGACCAGCATGCATGTCTCCGTATATTCCAAAAATATTCTGTATTTATTGTAATAAAGATAATGTCTCTGGGCTGTTCCATTCGGTGGTGTGGGAAAACAGCATAACATGTAATTACAAAACAAACTGAATCACATTTCATCGGTAATTAAATATGTAATTTTGCAAGTTTGATTTGGCAGAATAGTTTTCAAAGAAATTAAATGACATTTCGTCTTTATTTCTGGTTATATATTCGATATCATTATGTAACGTACTTTCGGTATCAATGTAATTACACCCTGTATGTGTAATACCTTTTTCTGACCATTGATTATAATAATTAAAACATATTTCAGCCTTCATAATAAAACACTTTGCGGACAACGTAGAATATCAATCTGGGGGTTTCCTAGAGAAGAATCGTGACACAGTGTCAGAGGAACAATTAGAGTGTATCAAATCTGCCACAAGCTGCCGTCTCATACACGCCATGTTCGCTGGAGATAGACAAGTGGACCAGTCGTCCACATTGCCGCCACCATCTCGACGACGGACTACGCCTTCCGTTCCTGTTGCCAGCTTAACAGTGAGTATCTACGCGTGCATATTTTGAGGCGAGTGTGAGTGTACGACTGCATTTTTATTGTGTATATGTTATGCGATTATAATAATAATAACCTGTGCCATTGCCGGGGAATACCGCCTCTCCCATTAAAAAAATCACAATGAATCTTTTAGGCATTGGGGGACACGAGAGTCTAAAATAGATACAATAATAAGAAATGAAACTATTTTTCCGGATTTAAATAACGTATATTTGTTTTTTCAAACAAACCAATATTTCGGGACCTGCGAGTATGTCGCGTGAGCGTACCACCAATTTGGGATCCAGTGTTTCCTCTGATGAAAAATCCCAAACAGACATGAGACTGCAGTACTAATTAATACGTTTTAATTTATTCTAATTTCCATTATTAATTAATAATAAATTTAACTTAAAAAAAATTCATAATGTTACAATAAAGTAATTTGTAAAACAATGTAGCGTAAATTGGAATGTTTCTTCGTAAAATTAAAAATAAGGTATTTAATTAATAACTTTTAAAACTATAGTGAAAAAATAGGGTGGTTTGCATTAATATTAGACAACTAGTAGATGACTGTACCACCTAAAACAACAGGGACCATGAGACCTGTAAAAGGCCCGAAACTTTGGTTTGTTTGAAAAAACAAATATACGCGATTTAAATCCGGAAAAATAGTTTCATTTCCTATTTAATGATTATAGTTTTTTATAAAAAAAAGCCGACCTCAAAATTTCGTGGAATTACATCTATTTGCCAATTATATTTGCCAGTTAACGGAAAGTGCGCGAAACCGGATTCATCCCCTAGCTTGCCACTCTTAGAGGTGGAATATTTCTTTCAAATTTAAATGAGACCAATACTGAGGTATTCTTTCTAACAAAAAAGAATCTAGCCAGGGCTGGTAGCTGTAAAGGTATCTAACTGGGTGACGAAATACTTAAGATTTCTCATACATGGCGCTACGGCTAAAAAGTCGTCGACAACCAAATACAAAGACACGACAACAAACATTTAGAAAAATTCGTGAGGTCCGCTGGTTCATTCCCTGGCTTAGTTGGTATAGCGTCTGGCACGGTATGCTAGACGACGTCGGTTCGAATCCGGCCGGATCGAAGGAATCTTTGAGTGTTCGATCTTTGTATTAATAATTATAAAAAAAAAGAATCAACAAAATCGGTTCACAAACTAAGCGCGTAACTTACATTAAAATAAAATACTGTCGAATCGGCTTTTTTATTGATCTCGTCAGTATACATAATAAATTTAAAAAAAAATCAAATGCCGTTACCGTTACTTAACGACGGCAACATTTGAGTTATACCCTGTTCCACAGCAACCACCCCGCCGGACATCGGGTCCAGGCAAGCAAACTGTAGGCGCGCAATTCCGCGCGTCACTATCAGCTCTGATGTTGACACTGTCAGCGACAACGCCGCACTATGTGCGGTGCATCAAGCCCAACGACACGAAGCAGCCGTTCCAGTTCGATCCAGCCAGGGCTGTTAACCAGCTGAGGTATGTTTCGCTATAGTATAAAAAGTTTTTTTTTATACAAATGTAAGTGCGCATTTGACATTTTACCTGATGGAAAGTGACGACAAGGTCGACAACCTAAATAATGTCTATTCACTCTCGCCTTGAAAAGGTCCAAGTTGTAACGTTCAGGGAACTAGCCTGCAGGCAGGTAATTCCACTCCATAGCCGTTCGCCATATATAAATGTGGAAGCGTAACGCTTTGTGCGAATCTTTGGAATTTTCTCAACATAGGGGTGGAACCCACGCCATTGTTGCATAGTTCCGAAAATTAGCTTTAATTCGGCGGCATTGTAAATTGAGTCTAAAGCCATGATGATATATCTTGTTTCAGAGCGTGCGGCGTATTGGAGACAATCAGAATATCGGCAGCTGGATTCCCCTCTCGATGGCTGTATCAAGATTTCTTCCATAGGTAAGTGCGGTTTAAGAGCTTGTTTTGTTTAAAGGAATATCACACTCTGTTCATTCATATTTAAGTCTAATCTCATATGGGGCAGGGCTCCGTCACTAGCTCGAGGTTACGCGATAAGTGCCTACCGCTGATAGTGCAAGCGCTCAGACAAGTCTTTGATTTACATTACAATCCTTGTACAATCCTAACATTCGGTTCCGTACGACTGCACACGGCGCACATAGATCGTTTTTCAGGATTTAGGCGGCCAAAATTATTTTATGTGATATTTATATAATAAAGTGCTTACATAAAAAGAATTCAGTGTAAAAAAATAATAATGTTTGTTTATTTGGCTTAAAACACTACATTTATTATTTATAAATGATGCATCCCCAGTAAGTAATTGATAATACTTGTGTTGGAGCTGTCTCGCTCTTACTCTAAATTTTTAACAATGTTGAGACTCGTTTACAATATGAGTAATAATAAATTTAGAAAATAACAATTAATAAAAAAGATAACAGAAAATAACTTATAAACTATCATCCATTGGTCGGTTTGGCTCAGCAGGAATTAATAGCTGCATTGTCTCAGGCAAAAATAATTTTGCAGCGGTTTTTTTGGTCTTTCTCATGGAACTAATAAATGGGTCGGATGTTAATAGTAACCTATGAAAAATATCTAAGTTACAGTCTTCCCTCGAAAACTTGCGTGCAAAGTTTAGACGATAAGACCGAAAATGTTTATTGCGGGCCTCAGCAGCTTCTTCAGAAAGCTGCCCTATCGGCAACAACGAATTTTCTATTATTGAAGCTCCATGGATCAAGACCTTGTGCATCGTTGGAGTCATAGGATGCCAGCCATATAACTCAACATATAATTTTGCAGTTTCAGTGGCGTATTTATCATACTTTGCTACGTCAATCTTATGGCCGCTTGATATGGCTTCTAATATCACTTTCAATCTAAAAATGAAGTCATAATCTTTCAAATTCCAGTAATTTCTGCAGCCAATTCAGGGTTCTCGAAAAATCTTCTGCTGGTGTTTCCGTCGTTTGTATTTCCGAAGTTGCTTTTTGGCATATCGACTAAGAGACCTGTCTCCTCTCTAAATCTTTGCTGAATTTCAAGTTTCTTCTGCTTTTCTAGATTTTTTTCTTCTTCGGTTCGTCTCTCGCGGTATTTCTTTACGGGCAATTTGTAAGCTAAATGAAGCACGCTTTCGAATATCCGGATTCTAGCATGTAATACGGAAAGGCCAAATTCAAGAGCTTCAGGGCATACGTCATTCTTTTTTGATAAATCATTAAAGTCTTTTGATGTAGCTCCACATATATAACACCTGCTGGTCGATTTGGTGTCTGCAGCTGCATTGCAGACCTTTCGTCAACCATAGTCATTTTAAAACTATGTTGAAAAAAAAAATCTCTCCATTGAGGTCTACTTTTGTCAAGTTTAGTGACTTTACACTATCCTTTACATATTTGATTTCATCTTTTGTGATGTCCGTAGATTCTTTTAGGAATCTAAATCTTATTGGACGGCAATATCTGGGTGAAGATGGAGTAGGTTTTTGCCACACGATTTTACTTTTATCTTCACCACAAACAATTTGTAGAGGCACAAATGAGCTTATAAAAATATTAGCATCAGAGTCATCCTCATTTGAGAGTCTTTGTTTATACTGAGCTTGTTGAGAGCCGTCACAACCCCATTTGCAGATTAACAGTAACGAGTTCCGTTCAGCAGCATCAAGTGTGAGTAAGACTTCTTCTAAGAAGAGGGATAATCTGGTTACAGTGTGATCCAACAAAGATTGTAGGTTTCCTTTCGCGCAGGTAGACGTGACTCGTAATGACTCCTTGGGTGGGTAGCATTCTTCTTTGGCCTTCAATAATAATTCATAATGAGGATAGAATCTTTTGTTCGTTGCTCGAATAATTTCGTATTGTCTTCTTGTCAAATCAGCTTCAACAAACATTGTCAGTGCTTGCAGAGGAGTAAGTGGCTCTATTTCTTTAGACTTTGAATGTCTTTTTTTACAATCACTGGCTGACGCAGTAGAATTTGTAATGTCCTTTAAAACAGTAGAGGCGTTTCGTTTTCCCTCTTTTTATAAAATTACTTGTGCCGCGTGAACAATTACTTCTTCATCGTAAGATGCGCGGACTCCTTCCGTTTTTCTTCTCTTTGTTCTTTCGCTAGATTCGATAAAGGATTTGGTAGGTCGTCCTGGCCTTTGATGCATATCTACGGGGATTTCAAATGTTCCTTCCAACCAAGAATTATTGGCTGTCAAAAAGTTCTCAAGTATTCTGTGCGCCTGAGACCACCTCTTTATTAAATCACTTTTAAAATACGATAACTTCTTTTTTATCACATTTTTATGTTCTTCTGTGCCCCCTAACACTCGAGTAAATAATTTTCTAAATATTGAATTTTTTCATGTATTGATAATGAATGTTGCTCGTTCATTTTGTCGAAGAGGTATTTACGGGTCAACATTTTCACCCCCGAGCAACCAGATGAACCTATGACAATAAAAAAATAATATTAACACAAAAAGATAAATTCTGATTTTTTTCCTATTTTTGTCAAAAAAAATTCAAACTCGTTTATTTTTAAAACTAGCAAAAACCAGCAGCTGATTTTATAAAGTTTCCTTTGTAACACTTTATATTATGTAATAAAATCAAAAATTTTACTCGGAAAGGTTCGGAAGTAAAGTTTTTTTTCGATTGAAATTGAAGAATAAAGATAATTAATCTCTAAAAATGGGTATCATTGACGGCTAGTCATTAAGTTACTTACTAAAAATATTTTTAATACAATTTCATATTAATTTAATAAAAGCTTACCTGGATTATTGGTATCCATCACTTAAACAAGCAAATATGCCACGACACATAAAATATTCAAAGAATAAAATGATATTCGAAAAGGGGACGTCAAGAACTTTCACGTGCAGTAAGACCGACAATCAAGTTTCGACTAGTAATGCAGCGCGCTCGCGCAATCTAGGGGGGTGGGTGGGGTTGGCTATTGTTCTTCAGGTAGTCTATTATTCCAGGAAAAAAAATGTTTGTCATTAGTCAACTTTAGGAATTTTGACTTATGGCCGCCTAATTCCTAGAAATCTACGTACGTGCGGCGGGTAATGTTATTTTCACTTTTCTGAGCGCGTGCTTAGGTTCCTTTTTGCTCGTAGTGAGCGCCTGGTATCATTAGTCAGATTAGTAGGCTATTATAGCGAAGGTATTTTGGATTTTGTATGAGAGATAGATAGATAGAGATATATTTATGTGTAAGCATAGACGGTAAATACAGTTTACTTATTTAAGATTACACTTATGGTTCAGCGTGTTGCGCCAGTAACTGGCATACAAATGTTAATAGCAAATATTATACATTGTTCGCATTTATTACATATAGTCATATTACTTATATAATTAAAATCATATCGTATTACAATATAAAATTAAATTTTGTTAATTAAATGATATATTTAAAGAAAAATTATGATTTAATGAAAAAGATGAACGCATGTCAAAGCGATAAAAATGTAGGGGGTCGCAAGCTTCAAAATTTAAATGTCAAAAATTCAAAAAAATATTAAAAATAATTTGTCACAATCAATTTAAATAGTATTTTCTTAAATCTAGACGTGATGATGCGGTTTTACCATTGCATTCGTTTGTGTAAAACAAACTCGGGCATGGCGTTTCCATATGGAAATATATTTAAGCATGATCTCACATGGTGACGCACGATGCACCACCAAGCGATTTTAGCGTTGTATTCGTTTGTGCATAACTGCATTTTGTATGTAAACATGGGTTTCGCGTTTCCGTATGGATATGCATGTAAGTCTGATCTCACATGGTGTCACAAGACACAAGAAAGTTTTAACGCTGCATTCGTTCATGTAAAACAGCATTTAATAACTTATTTCGTACCAGGAAATATATGGTCCGAAGAAATATATGTAAAACGGCCCTTTAAATTTTATTAAAAATATTTAATAAAATTCCAGACGCAATAAAAAATCTTAGTGGAATGCAATTCAAGCATGTTGTTAACAAATTCAGCCAACTGAACTGCTCTTCTTTATTCTTCCTTCGATATTCTTTTTGTAAAATGAAACTTCCTTAATCTGAAGTGGACTGTATATTCGTATATGTCGATCTGACTTACAAAAACAATAAACAACTAAATGTGACAAGTGAGAGTGATTGATTCAAATGACAATTATCGCTTATATTTATACCGGTACGGTGTCTCCCACACCGTACCGGTCCTATCAATGGGTCGCTACGCCGCCCGGCCAATCAGAGCTCCTGAATTATTCATTCTCTTCTGAATTCTAGCTCTGACCGCCCAGGCGCGTACGGCCGTCCGTAACACATGTATTAAAACAATTATTAATTGACAAGTGTTACTATAGCATAGAAGAATATTTTAATGACAGTTTCTTAGAATAGGTAAATGCTGACAGTTGGGTACCATATAGTTATTAATATTTTTAGACTTTTTAATTATTATTAGTTTCTTGGCCAATGGATACAATTATCCATTTTTCTTTTGACATTACATTTTTATTTAATTGACTTCGTATTTTTTGGCTTATTGCAGAGATTCCATAAAATTATTATTACCATCTATATCATGTACCTGTAATAACGAATGAATAAATGAATTGGATTGAATAAAAAGATGGGCTCGGTTTTCTCGTACCGATATGCATTTAAGATACTACCTCAACCCGAATTCAATTTATTCTCGTAGAAATATGGTTCATTTTGCTTGGGCCGAGTGGCAGGGACACCGGCTGTGTTTCAGAATTTTTTTTTTTATAAACGAAGTTAAAGCCATTTGAGAAACATATATCGTATACTATACGTGTTCTATTTAGTTGAGTTGATATAAAAAAATCATTGGTAAACATTGACTTACAATTACATGGACGTCGGGTCCGCGCTAAAAAGTGTCCGCACTTGTAAGGCGCTAAAATCGTATACAGAGCGCGACACTCCGCTTTAGTCTTCATTTGTTCTACGGACAGCGCGATACTGCGATGACATAACAATTTAAATTTCGAATAGGTTGACTTGGGACATTTTTTTCGTGGTTTTTGTATTAGACCCGTCGTCCATTTATTTGTAAGTCAATGACTGGCACCATAAAAAGTCTTTGGACAAAATTGTAATAAAAGTTTTACATGATATTTTTTTATATACCAAGTGACAAGATGAATAAGTCGTGGGCCTGCAGCAAAGGTCTAAGGGGCACTAATACAAATTTCAATGTAAAAAATCTTTCCTAGTCGAAATAGGAACAACTCCACATAATACCCACCTTGCAATCCTGTGGAGTGGAAAAAAAGGCCCGAGGGTTTTATTTGCCACCATGCAATTATATTATTTACGAGCATGTGTGACGAAAAATACATTTTTTTTGTTTTTTTTTTAATAATAATAATAACACACACACACTCAACATAGCCCCGCACTAGGGAAACCCTGTGTCGCGGGTGCCATGGACACACATATAGACAAGCACAATTTACACCCAAACTCACAAGAGAAACAAATGTAGGTCATACAAATATTTCTCCCGGCCCGGGAATCGAACCTGGGACCTCTGCGTGGCAGTCCGGCATGGTGACCGTTCGGCCACAGAGGCAGTTAAAATTTATGAATGAACATACTTTTCGCAGGTACCGCCTTCTTTGTCCCCACAAAGAAATCGACCGATCAGATATCAAAGCGACCTGCGCGAGGATACTCGCGAAGCATCTTAAAGATCCTGACAAATTTCAATTTGGAGCCACTAAGATTTTCTTCAGAGCCGGACAGGTAAGTCTACAAATATTTCTTACATTATTTTTTAAGGATGGTCCTGTGCAACCACTACCACTGTCTTCCAGTGGCGAGGAGTGAACATTTTTCTTTGCACAATCCGAAGCAAATACTGATCCCTGGACCGTGTAAATCAGGGGTTCCCAAACTTATTTTGTCTACTGCCCACTTTGAGAATAAATTATTTTTAGCGCCCCCATTTTTTCACCTACTTAATAACCACTATAACTTCAAATTAAATTAATTATTGTGAGCTATATTAGCGGAAATTAAAAATTCATTCTAAACGAGACGTTTACTATAACCCGCAAGAGTTAACTTGAGACCTCAGCGCAGTGTTTGTGCAATGACTTCAATCTCTAGACAAGAACATTCACAGCAAGTACATGTTCCAAACTGTTCCAAACAAAACACTATCAATAGATAATTATAATTAAGATCGAACACTTACAAAAAATTCCTTCGATCCGACCGGATTCGAACCGACGTTTTCGAGCAAACCGTGCCAACTAAGACACGGAACGGACCAGCGGACCTCACGAATTTCTCTATGAGCTTGTTTTGTCAGATCTTTGTATTTGATTTTCAACGAATTTTAACCGTAGCGCCATCTATAAGAAATCTATGAAAGTATGTAGTCACCCAGTTAGATATCTTCACAGTTACCAGCCCCGACTACAGATGTCGCTATTCACTGTATTTAAATTTTTATTGAATTAATATTCAATTATTTTTTGTGAAATTACTCCACTAACGCTAAAAAGCCGTTGAAACCAAATACAAAGATCAGGCAAAACAAGCACATAGAGAAATTCGTGAGGTCCGCTGGTTCCTTCCGTGGCTTCGTTGGCATAGCGCCTGACACGGTTTGCTAGAAGACGTTGCTTCGGATTTTTTCTAAGTGTTCGACCTTTGTACAACAAACTAGTGGAGTAATTTCACAAAAAAATAATTGTATATCAATTCAATAAAAATTTAAATGGTGATAGTGTTTTGTTTTTGTGTTAAATTTTGTCAAAGAGTATCAGCACCGTGGTACCGTGGACAGACCTTGAGAGTCTACATCATTGGGAACGAGCTGGGTAGCTAAATAATATTGAGTGTTTACTAATGACATTTATCCATAATTGCGGAATTAACGAAAGACCCCTAGCAATGTCGCTATTAGTTACACAATACATTCCATTGTGCTTTGACCCAGAGGCCTTCCGCTTGCTGCTTATAATTATTATATTACTAAAAAGAAAAACAAATTAAGCAAAAGGAAAAAATGCAGTCGAGTTGTTATATACTGTTCCATGCGGAAAGGCAAAGATCTTTCGACCATGCAAGTACATAGATATCGTTGAGCCTAGTCTTTTTATATTTTTTAAAATTTATATGTGACCTTAGTAACTATGTGACCTTTTATAATCATATTATACATACCCTGTTATTGTCTAGTCAGAACACAACACTCTGTTGCTTATTAATCAATGTAATTTATGTTTTGTCTTGTTTTAACACGCGTCATTACATGCTTGCAAAACGAGATGGATAGTGTGAAATTTTGTATACTATTTCGCGATTATCAAATGTTATAATGCACAAATTAATCAAAAACCACAACATAACTTACCGAATCAATGTGAATAATTTAAAACTTTACATTTATGTTCACACAATTAGTCAAATAGCGAAATGTGAGCAACACACCGATTTAAATTAAGACTGCATTTGCGTCCGCCATCTTGAATGTTTGACAACCAACTAAATGATGTGCAGCCTCTTCACCGCACGTCAGTGAAACACAGCGCGTGTATAGAACGCCGCATCTAGTACGCTAGTACGTAGGTATCATTGGATTTATTGTACTATGGTTTATGAAGTTATAATTGACAGATTTAAGCACAAGAGTAGAAAAATATGTTTATTGTACAGTTAAAATACATACTAATAATTATAAACATTATTATTTCTTTAAAATAACTATCTAAATAAGCTAAAGCTAAAGTTACACCAAAAAACTAACCATAATATTACGTTAATTGCAAAATGAAAGAGAATTCTTTCAATATTTTATTTTAACGGCACTTACCAGACCACATCGGAACAAACTAACCAAAAACATCTTTACATTAAAAATGGTAACTTTTTCATATGAGGGTAGAAATATGACAAAATATTTATTTTTCGTGTTTTCTGACAATTGATTGACATAAGTAATGGTTGATTTTATTAATTGGTTGTGAAGGAACTACAGTTTACAATATGTTGTAGACTATCCGCCTCTATTTCTTTTCAACTAAGTTCAAAATGTTTTACTGTAACCGTTATAAACTGCAATCAGCAAATAATATTGAACTATAAACTGTAATATTCTCTCGAAACAGTTTTGCTAGGGTTACTGTTTTTCCAGTACATCTACTGTTTTTGGATTACATCTACTGTTTTACTGTTTTTCGGAATTTTCAGATTTTTCACTTTTCACAACTATTCTTGTCGGCTTTTTAGATTTTGTGAATCGTCTTTTCCATTTACGACGTCGTACTTTATGTTTTTGAAATGAAAATGTAGAGCACATTAAATAAAAAATGTTGTAAACTGTTCTTACTGGATAAAAAGGTACTTAATGCACTCCACTGAATGATATTTTTTTAGCTGGTCCATAAATGTATCTACTAAAAATCTTTTACGTGCATGCATTTAGCATTACCGTGATCTCAACTGTGACTCTCTGAACATATTGAACATTTGTCGGAGTTTTTGCAAATCTTTACAATGTGGTCAAATCATAGAATCGTCCGTTCATTTTTTTTGGTATTTCGGCCAAATAAAATATATTTGTCAATCACAGGTCTAGAAAATGCGGGGAAGTAACATCTATGGTGTTATTATCCAAATACAATTTTTATTGTCAGATACCAACATCGTAAGATAACATCAAAAACATTAGGTGACAATGTTTGAAGAAAATCGATTAAAAGTGTTTCAAACACCGTAACTTCAGCATCTACTGTTTTTCCCTCAATCTACTGTTTTTTCTGTGCGATATCTTCCGATTTTCTCCGATTTGACCTGGCAACACTGTCTCGAAAGAGGAATTGTTAACAACCTATCGCACCTCCGGTGGAACAGTGTCTTAACTTACATTTGCAAAAATTTACATAAATGTAAATTTATATACATCGTGTTAAAAGTTTTTTTTTGTATTTAGGGCTACGGAACACATTTGAAGAGCTTATTTTAAGTGTTATATATTATTGTTCTCTATCTAAAAATTAAAAAATTAATGTGTATCTATTTTTAACCGACTTAAAAAAAGGAGGTTTTTTATTCGACTGTTTTTTTTTGTATGTATGTTACGCGATAACTCATTAGTGAACCGATTTTGATGATCCTTTTTTTTGTTGAAAAGAGGGTACTTTGCCTCGGTATTGTTAAATTTGAAGAAAATATTCTACCTCTAAGGGTGGCAAACTAGGGGATGAATCCGGTTTCACGCACTTTTCGATAACTAATTTCAATAAAAGTTGGCAAACAGATGTAATTCCATGAACTTTTCAGGGGTTTTTTTTTTAAAAAAACGTTAAAATTATTGCGTATAAATTTCATTGTTAAGTAGTTTCACATTTTTGCAGTTAAGCCTATATTTCACCGTAGGCGCGCTATGTATATAACACTAAAAGCAACCATTTTTAATCGACTTAAAAAAAGAAGAAGTTCTCAATTCTTCTGTATTTTTTGTATGCATGTTACGCGATAACTAATTTGTGAACCGATTTTGATGATTCTTTTTTTTTTTTGTTGGAAAGAGGGTACCTCAGTAGTGGTACCATTTAAATTTATAAAAAATAAGGATAGCAAACCAGGGGATAAATGACTTTTGAGGTCGGTTTTTTTAGTACTCTGTACTGATATTATATGTTGCCATGGATGTTAAGAAGAAGCCGGAAAGAAACAGTCTCAGAGGATTTTTCAAATGAGCAAACTGATCATGTTACCTGTGTGTTTTACACTAATGATATTGCCTTAAAACACTACTAAACAAATCGAACAATATAAGAGTCAACAAAATCATAGGCGCAAGAACTGAGATGATTCTGTACCCTGTAGCAACCTTATACTCGTAACATAGCGAGCTAAATCTGTTTCCTTGTTTTTTGCAAAGCGATCCGGGTGCGCCGATTTCGTATATTGGTTCGTCTACATCGCAGCGTGCGCAGGTTTCTTCTTGAAAGTCGTACCTGTTTTGAAAATAATTACTAAAGTATAATATTTAAGAAATTACAAGGACCAGTAACTGAAGACGACTGCTAATCTTCATACTAAAAGGTCAAAATCCAGTCTTATATTAAGATGGCGTTAATCAATAGCCTGGAAGTAATTTATATTATGTAAATGGACGTGGATATCAATTAATTTCTCTTCAATAAGTTTTTTTCCTCGTAATATTATGCAAATATAGTGCCCCAAGCTTCCAGAAAAATAATCAATATATGGTTTCACCAGTATATTTCAAATTTTTCCAATAAAAATGCTCAGAGTCAGATACGTCGGATAGTTCGCCCAGCATTGCAACGCAATGGAGACACTTAGCTTAATTTACGAAGCATTCGCGAATGACGTCACCGCACGCTAGTCGCGGGTTCAGTGGGACACAATGGTCTGTGGTCGACTAGGCTGCCGTGACCACGGTGACGCGGAGAAGGTAGACCCGCGGTGAGGGTAGGCCCGGAGCGAAAGTAGCCCCGCGGATTATGTATGCTCGAGGCGAAGGTGACGCTACATTTGACGCCCGGTGGTACGATTCCAAGCCAGGGGTACGCAGGAGTAGTTTTACACAAATTATTGATCAACTCAGCAGCACAATAATGAGACGAGAAAAAACACGGACCGGGGGCGGAAGACCTATTTATAAGGGAACCTATTTATAAAGGAATTTGCGTCTTTTCGAAAACGCATTACCAAATATGGTCATGGACGAGAGAATATTTCGACCTTTAGAAGGTGAAATCTCGACCATAGATGTTGACATGAAGAACCGGTAATACAAATAGTGGCTAACCGATCAATTTGTTATATTACTTTAAAATTCTAGTTTTAATGTTTTATATAAGCAGTTTAAGTGAAAAACTGCTACAAGAGAGCTAAAGTAATTTGTGAAATTTGACTTTGAAATATGCGTGTCAATAGATGGCGTTGTGTGTGGTAGCGCGGAAGCTTGCGGAAAAAACCACCGGGACACACGCGAGGCGACTTCCAGGGTATGGAGACCCTATAGACGAAGGTCTCTATAGGGTCTGAAAAAAAGGAGTTTGAGTGAGAGGGATGCGTGTATGAGCATAAATGAGAAAGGCGATAACACTGTTAGATACTAATTTATAAATTAACGCTTCCTAATGTGGATAGATAGCGCTTATCCTATACAAATTAGTAGAATAGCCGTCGCTATCCATAAAAATCTGTGCAATAAGCGCCATCTAGTTGACTTGTTTGCTATCACAAGAAATTAACTTTTACAAGTTGCAGCTTGTAAAACAAATTAATTACAAAAATAGCTATATAGTACTCGTCGCGACATTAAGTATATCAATAGGGACTAAGTATCCGACGACGCTGTCTTGCATCGCGGTTAACAGTCCTCTTGATTTATTGCTGCCTTCCGCTACCTAAATATTTTTTTCAGTTCTCATAAAAACCAAAACCCCGTTTTCAGAATATTGAAATTGTTTAATGATATTCCATCTATGCATCGTTAGGGGTAAGTTCCGATAAGTCGAAGGCGTTAACTAATTTACCTGTTTTTAAAAGAGAATTTTGTGCTCTTAAAAACGGTTATTTGACCATTTGTCACGTAGCCGCGTCTTATTTAGTGGACGGCAGATTGGACGAGACGAACATGTGCGCCTGGTGGAAAGCTACACACCTGTCCACTCCAGTTCCAGCGCCACTCAGAGCTTTAAATCGCAAAGATCTTAGGGGCACTGCCACTGCGCGCGTCACCCTGAGATATAAGTAATCTGCCCTCAGAACGAAAATAGGCACAACTGCTGTATAAAGTATGGATCGTTGAATTTTTTTTCGTTACGAGGGAAGAGTTGACAAGTCCCATGTGCCTGTAATTTCACCCTTCAAAAACAAAAACTACTAAGTAGTACTACTAAAATCGCGTAAAATTCAGGCTCGCGTGCAAAAATATAAAAAATATACATAATTTCATTAAGAAAGAAGATATCCATAATATTAACCTTAGAACTAAGTCCCACGTCGTAGTACCACGATTTCGTTTACATAAGGTAAACGATTTTTTGTGGGTAACTGTATACGTTTTTACAATAAGATTCCGGAGCATATATTAAGATTACAAGGTACACACTCTTCATTTTAATTGAAAAGTCCTATTAAAAAATTTAAGAATATGTGTTAGATAAAGATGTATAGAAAGACAACATGAGTCTAAATTCTACACAATTATGATTCAAAGTCTATTCCATAGCGTTTAAGTTTGTTTGAAAAGAGCAATCCCTAGAGATTCTTGCTCGTTCTTTCAAGTGAACGAGCAGTAACTTCTCGCCTTAATAAAGGGTTGACTATGATGATTTTCAAATAAACCGGTTCACTGACCTCGTCACCAATCTTGCAATAACACCAGTAGAGCCATTTTCGTGTAGGTTCAATTTATTTCTAACCCAATTCGTAGGATACTGCTGTCTCAAAGCAACAATGCCCCATTCATAGTTACTGCTGCATTCTGGATAAGACATGTTTTTTGCAGTTAAATTGTTATTGTCCCTCGGTGCCGTTTTCATAGGTTGTAGGATAAAACCCAATTTTTTTAAATATGTCAAATTCGTTATGCCACCATCTGGTAAATAGTGCCGCATGTTGTTATGCCTTAATATGCCGCAATAGTATTTTGTGTCCAAGTAAAATGGGGCACCGGGGGCAAAGTTGCATATAACTCGGATTTCTCCCGACCGTTTCTTGGCGTATGCGCATCCAATCTAAACACACGTTTGCAAAACACATATTACAAAGGTCATATACAAAGGTGAGCTTATGTCTAGAAGATATCTCTTCCAGCCAATCTTAGCCGTGGTGCAGAAATAAAGTCTGCGAGACTAATTATTGTACAATATATTTATTGCAAGTTTAAATGTGAATATATAATATAAATAATGATAACCTACATATGACAGACATACACACATACATAGACTTTATGTACATAAAATTTGAATTTTTTTGGTCATCTCTGTTTTTATTTTGTTTCTTTCTTTTTTTTTCACAAAATTAGTTCTATTTGTTTTTTTTTTTTGGAATTTTGTCTTTTTTAGTGCTCATCAAATTGGCACCGAAATTAGGTAGAGACATTATTTTTTTATTAATTAGGTAGAGACAACTATGTAATTTTCAGGTCATTTTTAGGTAATTTTCAGGTTAATACCTGGAAATTACCTGATCTAGTGTCTTCTAAGCGAACATTTACCACTCTGATCTATGCCTTGATTTAACCGTCAGAGAAGATTGTAAATCATCAAAAATCATGATTAATTCAACAGAAATTATAGTTCATGTCGTTTTGTTTCTTTGAAACAGCATTATTACAAAAAGATAATTGTCTTAAGCTTAATAGTCTTTCCAGGCAACCATGCAAGTCTTTCCATCCACGCATAACAGTCTCTCTTGGTATGAATTCTTGTCTCTTCAAGTAAGCATGCTAGTCTTTAATGATAAGCACGCTAATTTTTCCAGGAAACCATGCTATTCTTTCCAGGCATTCACGCTAGTCTTTCCAGGCAATCGTGCTAACCTTTCCAGGCAAACATACTAACTGTAAACATGTTTGTCTCTCTGAGAAAACATGACGATTTTTCAAGGCAAGCATGCTAATCTTTCTAGGCAACCATTCTAGTCTTACTAATCAATCGTTTTAGTCTTTCCAGATCACAGTAGTAAGATTGACGTCTTAAATACGACGGTTAGTGGGAAGAGAGAAGATAGTACATGATATTGTATTAATGTATTGTTTAGTATGAATGCATGGGATCATACCTTATTCGTGTTGGCCCAAATAAGCTGTATAGTATGAAACGTATATTTTTCTATATGACCGCAACCTATGTGCATAGGTTGTAAATGTGTGCCGGCACTCATGAACCACGCGTGGACACAGCCCACCACTGGGTCTACAAAGCACTCGGGAAGTGGTATGCTGTTGAGTGAGACATTGAGATGAAAATGGAGAGAATCGCTAAAATATACTTAATACGAAAAGAAAAAAAATATATAACTTCTAAGTTTTTTTCATTAACAAAATTTGTGGCTCCAAGTAAATGGTTTTGAAACATGTTCACTGGCACCATATAAAATTGTTATAAAAGTTTCACAAGATATTTTTATAAGAAACGAAACTATTTTTCCGGATTTAAATCGCGTATATTTGTTTTTTCAAACAAACCGACGTTTCTCTCTCTCTCGTCAAGTTATGGCGTTCGGGGAATAAGTCCGCAGGCAGGGATTCCACTCTCTAGCCGCTCGCCGTATAAATGTGGAAGCGAAACGCCTCGTGCGGATCCTGGTAATATCTACAACGTAGGGTTGGAATCCCAGCCCACGTCTAACCTCCCGATGATAAAAAGGGGAAAGCGGAATCAAACTATGCCTTTCCATCGCATGGCAGGCATTCTACAGGATTGTAGAATACCGATAAGCAGACAACTTTACGGCGGTGTTCAAGGCCCTGCAGCTTCGCCTCTACTAATTCCGAGTCACCTATAAGCCGCTTGCCACGTTTGTCGATTCAATCGAAGGTGGTCAGTTGGTACTTAGCAGAGCCATCCTGTAAGTGGCAGCAGTACATACACGACCGGACTTGTGCTTGGTACAGCTGAAGCAACTGTCCCGCTCAATATTTAGTTGTAAACATTAATGGGTTTTAAACCGATTTAAAACCCGGGCGTTTGCCTGTCTCTTATTCTCCTAGCTAGTGTGGGCGCAGCCCTAAACGTCATTCACGTTTCCGGCAATAGTCGAGAATCATTCACAAAATTCACTCTCTCTTGTGACGCGCTCCGCAACGGTCACATATCGTGCGCCACGCCAACGAGGCATATACAATTAACTTCTACTGTGAACAATTTTAAATACAAAGATCGAACACTTGGAAAAAATTCCTTCGATCTTGCCGGATTCGAAACGACGTCTCCTAGCATGCTGTACCAGACGCTATGCCAACTAAGCCACGGAATGAGCCAGCGGACCTCACGAATTTTTCTAAGTTCTTGTTGTCGTGTCTTTGTATATGGTTTCTCACTGTGAACATTAGCAATAGGTGAAGTACCGTGTAATACCTGAAATCGAACACGGCACGACGTGTCCTTTAGTGTTACCCCGGCATTTCCCAAACTAGCATACTTAAATAAAGACAGTAATTTGAAACTTGCCAATTAGAATACCAAGCTGTTCTCCAACAGCAACTCTCAATTCGTTTAAAGCATTCCAGCTGAGACACTAGTTTTGATTCCAGTGATAAACACGGTGCAGGTCCCGGCAGGCACTGTTTTAACCACCTATCTGCCATTTCTTCCAAATCTGCAGAGTTAAATGAAACTTTTTTGTATTAAATATTTTTTACTTACCTTGCCGCGGGGACCCAGTTTTATTAATATAATTTAATTTTAGTTTCTAGTATTTAAGCTTTTATTGTACATTGTACCTGTATGTTTTAACTTATTAGCCCCCTTTTCACGGTCATTATATCGCGCGTGATCTGCAGTGTACAGGGTTGGGCGCGGGAAAGCCTGCATGCGCAATTGTGTGCGATTACCCGTTTGAAGTTTTTTAAGCTAACGTTCTTTCACGCGCGATTGCTCGTGTCCATTTTTATTACAGCGGAAGAGCGTCCGTGTAAATGACAATTAGAACGCGCGACTGTGCGGTCTTTCCCTTTTCCTTCTAACGTCTTTAGGGCGCTTTTATTCGACACGAATTTCATCGTTGCGCGGTCGCCGAGCGGACTCTCTGCTGTCTAACTGTCATAGCAAAATACTCTCTATTTGTTTAGCTTTTACGTTTTAACTTAAATGAGCGCACCGGGCACGCGGGCTAGCTTCGGCGACCGCGCGGTTGTATTATTCAGAGGAATTTAAATATTGTTGCTTAGTAAATTGAATTCACATTCGCCATTAACGTACGTGAAGGCGTAGTAACTGGGCGGTCGCCACGCGGCGGCCGCGCGTAAACTTTCGCCTCGTGTAATGAATAAACTACTGGAGTAATTTCACAAACATCTTGACATTCAATGTACTTAAAAATTGTTATGGAAGCTCACCTATGTTATAAATAATCTGCTTCATATTAGCCGCGGGTGGCAAATATGGATACTCGTCCGGCGTTCCCTGTGCAACGAGGTTCCTCATGGCGTTGATGGTGTTAACCAACGCGACTTGCTGCATTGGTCTTAAAGTGTAGACTTTGTAGAACGAATTGCATATTACTGAATACCTATCTGTAGGGTACAAGCAGAGTGTGTGGTCGCCATGACAGGGGAGAATTGAACACCATTTTGAGGCACGGTTGTAGGTGATATTTTGGAGTCTATCCCTGTAACAATAACGTGTAATTAATGCCTTGCAATTAGGGCCTACTAGGTACCCTTCCTAAAGAAAAAGATGCACAACCCACGGTCCATAAAACTTTTAGTAATTATTGGATGTAGTTATGTATGGATCCAATCTACAAAGTGCCTAAAGTCTAAGCTCTTAGATCGGGAATAAAAAATCTAATTTGATTAAACATAAACTCCAACACATAAACATAAAATTGAACTGCCTCCGTGGCCGAACGCCTACCATGCCGAACTGCCACGCAGAGGTTCGATTCCCGGGCGGGGAGAAATGTTTATATGGCCTACATTTATTTCGTGAGTTTGGGTGTATATATTTGTGATTGTCTATGTGTGTGTCCATGGCACCCGCGACACAGGGTTTCCCTAGTGCGGGGCTATGTTCAGTGTGTGCGTTATTACTATTATTAATTTCCCACTCTTAGACGTGACAGATTATTTTCAAATTTGAAAGGGACCACTAGTCGTGGAAATCGGCTCATATCACGGAACATACAAGAAATATAGTCAAATTAAGAACCTCCTGTTTTTAAAGTCGGTTAAAAAGAGGAAAAAAAGGGCTTAGTCGATGAATGGCCAATTCGCAAAATGGCTACTAGCTAAAATGAGGGCTATTTCGCGGAATGACTAGTTCTGAATATGGCTAACTCTCCAATGGACTAATTCTACAAACGGCCAATTCTCGAAATGGCTGATTCTTGGAATGGCCGATTCTTGATAAGGCCAATTCTTAAAATGGCCAATTCTTGAAATGGCCAATTGTGAAAATGCGCGTATAGCCTAGAGGTTGAAATAATTACTGCATAAATGAATTTCAGGATATTTATTTTCGCACCTTGACACCAAAAAAAACAAAAATTTTACCACTAAACGAATACTGAACAAAATCATCATTGATTAGGTACGCTCTACTACTGAAGAATGAGCAAGAAACTCTGAGAGTTGGTCTTTATAAATAGAATAGTTGTTTACATTTTCATCATCTTTACAATAACAATTAAAAAAAATATCATTAGAACAAGCAAAAGTCAATGGATTTTTTATGCAAAATGAATAAAATTGATAAACTCAGTTTCTTATAACAATGATTTTATTGTATTGAAAAAAAGAATCTTGACAGCAGAAGTTGGTCACATTTAATATAATGTTATTAAGTTAATATTACCAACTTCTGCTGTCCCGATTTTTTTCGTCCCAAACATTAAAACGATCCCTTTATGAAACTGAGTCGATAAGCACTAAAAGACAATTATATTCAATTTTATTAATTTTTTAGGGCAACTTACGCTTAACCAAAAAATTGACTTTGCCAAAATCGTTTTCACATAAAGAAACTCAATGGGTCCTAAAACAGAATCCTTGTATCTTCTATGGTTTCCGATTTCCGCATGTTATCGAATAAAAAAATACTGTACAAATTCTACGTTTATAAATGAAATTAAAAAAAACACAAAATAAAGAAAATACACAAATTAAACGTGTTTTGGAATATACATTCCAAAGATTCGTTATGTTTCCACATTTATATGGCGAACTGCTATGGTGTACATTTCCATGCCTTCTGACTTATTTCCTGAGCGTTATAATTTGGGCCTTTTCAAGGCGAGAGTGATTAGACATTATTTAAGTGTGCTTGCTCTATCGTCGACCTCATCGTCACTTTCCATCAGTTGAGATGGAGGTCAAGTGCGCACTATTATATTATTGAAAAAAAAAACAAATAAAACAAAATAAAGAAAATAAAATAAATGAAATAATTAAAATAAAATAAATAAAATAAGTAAAAATAATCAGAGAAAAAGGATACACACTACATTAAAAACTGTAAATAAATAATTTTCTTGAAAAAGTCCTGCACCGTTATCTCGTGCCTTTTTAGTTTTGTTACAATATGTTTGTATTTTTTATCAAACATAATGTCTCTATTTGCCCGATTTTTTCTTTGCTTTTCAAATAATGTTTTCTTAATTTTTACGTCAAAATGCTTTGATTCCCCTCGTATTTTGTGGATGAAGTGAAATAAGCTGGGACGTTTCGGAATGATGACATTTAGGCGGCGATGCCAACCTTCAATAGCATTGGTGGTCCGGTGGCGTTGACCAGCACAACTTAATAAAGTTGGGGTCAGGCGGTGCCATTGTCTCTCTAAATATTTTTGGAAATCTTTCATTGCATAAGACAGACTTTCTATCTTCCCATAAATGATTTGCCATCCTTCCGGTATAAAACGTGGGGGCAAAAGAGGCATGACGGCGGCTATCCGAATGACTCTTCTATTTTCCTTACAATTAGTTAAACCCATTTCCTTTGCTTTTTTCCAAATAGCCTGCTGGTAATGAAAGTAACAACCGGTTATCTTTGCGTCCGGGTAAATTTCGCTAACGGCATTCATTACCGCCACCTCATAATCACATTTAAATTTTTTTATATTTAGTCCAAGCCGATCTTTGAATAATTTAAAAAGTCGCGTATACGTGAGTTGAGTCTTGTCCGGAAGAAGAGAATATATAATTAGAACAATATTTGTGGTATTTTCGTCGGAACCTATGTCAATATGGATGGTGTATAATTGGTAAAAAGGACGAGAAACACATTTGAATGTACCATCACCGTATAAGCACATTTTTGAGGCACGATGTATAATCTTTTTCGATAATTTCGAAGCAAAAACTATTATTTTATCTGTGCTCCCATCTTCGGCTACAAGAAAATTTTCTGCCAATCCTTCTGGGACATACACATCTTCTAAATTCTGGAATGTTAATCTACGTGCATGTAAAAATTTTTTCCTGGCGTTATAAAGAGAATCTTTTTTAGTGTGAAAATATGGAAGCTTAGTAACTATAGTTCCTGACATATTATCCAGTTCTTTATCGAAAATTCCCTTTATTGGCCCCATATTTTGGCATACTTTGTTTTTGAATTCACTCATTTTGATAAAAATTTGGTTTTTGTCTGGGTCAGGTTCACAGACGTGTCGGGGTGCTCTTAGTATCCTTGTTCTGGTAGAATCTATAGTTATAGATCCACTACACTCATTTTTATTAGCACATCTCCAAAACGTACTTTGATTTTTATTTGTCCTGTTTCTTTTATTATACCTGTATCCATTTAGTAATAACGTTTCATTACCTTTTTGATTTTTGTCGAAAATAAATGTGTTTTCTTCCATTATGAAACTTGTCACAAATAAAATAATACAAAAACTCAAAAGTCACAAACATGGATAAGATTATATGAAAATGTATTAAAAACTTTTTAACGCGCGACTTTTAGAATAAAATCCCATTGAAAATAATTACTACGATTTTCAAATATCCCTCACGCAAGGGCAAAATAAATTTTGCAGATTAGCCATTTTAAGAATTGGCCGTTTTTATAATTGGGCCTTTTAGGAAGTAGGCCTTTGTCGAATTAGCCATTTTGCGAATTAGGCCTATATCGAATTGGCCATTTTGCGAATTGGGCCTATATCGAAATAGTTATTTTGCGAATTGGGCTTTCCTAGACTGGTAGCCATTTTGCGAATTGGCCATTCATCGACTAAGCCAAAAAAAGACTGACAAATAATGATTGATTGATGATTTTAGAGGGGTATACCCACTTTAAAGTTAAAAATAAAATATTGTATGAGTAACTACACGATATATTCAAGCATATACACACATCAAAAAAAGTTTGCGATCAATAGCATAAGCTCCTATAATTCTTTAAATTTAACTTTATCAAGAAAAAATCTATGTTGTATGCTTTCTTTAAATAGGAATACCCTGTTTGAAATTAAAATATAAAACTATTTTTTATTATTTATTTTAAAAAATTGAGCCATTAATCATAATGTAATAGTGATAGCAATTTCATAGAAAGAAAAAGACTGTTTAATGAAACTTAAACAACAATTTATTATTAAAAGGTGTGAATTCAATATAAAATAACTCCTCCCCTGGCTCGAGTACATGCGAAGATCCTCCTGGGCATGCTGAGGATCAAGTTATCCAGCATTTCCTGGGGTAACCTATCCCATTCTTCAATAGCGGCTGCCCTGAGCTCTGGAACTGTCTGGGGACGTGGCTCACGGTTCCATACTGCTCGTTTAAGAGCATCCCACGCGTGCTCTATTGGGTTTAAGTCGGGCGAGCCGGCAGGCCAGTCTAATCGTGTGATATCGTATTCTTGAAGAGCAGCATTGACTCGTTGAGCTCGATGTGCGGGCGCATTATCATCGACCAGTACAAATTGGTGCCCATGGTTTACTCGGAATGGTCTGACGATATCATCAATAGTAACTGCTTTGTACATGTCTGCTGTCATGAAGCCCCGATACGGGATCAAAGGCGTTCTAGCTCCAATCATAATGCCACCCCAAAAGGACACCGATTTTCTGCCTTGCTGAACTGTTCCAGTGGCAGTTCTTTGTCTTTCACGGTCGCCTGGTTTTCTCCAGACACGGACACGTCGGTTATCTGGATGAGTGCTCATTCGGGATTCGTCAACGAAGAGACAGTTTTGCCAAATGTTTTCGTCCTCACCTTCTTCATTTTGCCGAAGTCTAGCCCACTGCAATCTTCGGTGTTGACGTTGCCGGGAATTGAGCGGAGCTCGCCAAGACCTCCGTGCTCGTAATCCAGCCTGGTGCAAGCAATTGCGAACGGTCTGCGTGCTAACTTCAAGCCCAGAGGCGGCCCTGACTTCTGCTTTTATTTTAGTGGCGTTGATTGTTGGATCACGGGCTGCCAGCAATCTAATATAGCGCTTTTGGGCAGCTGTCAAAACAGTTGGGCGACCGCTGCGGGGTCGGTCAGCTAAATTCCCCATTCCGTGATACCTCTGCAACGTAGCCACGACACAGGATTGGGATATAGCAAGTCTGCGTGCTATTACTCTCGTGGTGTATCCTTCTTCCCTCAAAGTTACTATTCTAGCTCGTAAAACCTCTGATAATCCTCTTGGCATTTTTTCAATCACAACTTTCCGCGAAAAATATCTTGAATCGCTTATAATTGACTAAATCAGATTTCTGAATGAGCGTAAGCTAGGACTGAAAGCCTTTTTATATGAAAAAACAATTGAACGGGGTCATTGTTTTATGTTCTAATTTATTTTTAAATAAAGAATCTAAAAAGAAGAAAAAATCATAATATAACCTACAGTAACAAAAAAGATTTCAGTTTTTCGAAGTGATCGCAAACTTTTTTTGATGTGTGTACATTAATCAGAAACAAAACAATAAAGTTTTCTCTATAGATAAACATCACGAAATGATCTCTAATTTTCACATTTTTTCGATTTATCCTCGAAATGCTACAGGTTATTAGGACAAAAATTAGATAATTAATTATATTTATGCATGATCGACAACTGTCACTACGGATTTTAATCCCTTTAGTTTTAGAGTTATTCCGCTAAAACGAATTTGGTACTTTTAATGCGCAAAATTCAACATCTACTGTCGCAAGTCACGCGAACTTCAGGCATATATTTGTTTCACAAATTTGGGCGGAGCCAACGTCAAAACTTTTTTGGCATGAGAGCTCTTAATAAAAAAACCGACCTCAAAAGTCGTTCGTCATCCTTAGAAGTGTAATATTGTCTTCAAATTTTTAAATGGGACCATTACTGAGGTACTTTCTTTCCAACAAAAAAGAATCACCACAACATCACAAGTATTGCGTAACATACATAAAACAAGCTATAGAATTGAGAACCTCCTCCTTTTTTGAAGTCGGTTAATAATAGTTTATTCAATACTCAAAAGATATATCTAAATGTATAACATAATGTGAGCCGTCGAATTGAGTTTCCAATTTTTCAAAAATTTTTCCTGAAAAGTTTCCACTATATCAAGTTTTTCGAAAAATGATCCAACTTTACTCACAACTCACAAAATTACGCTCATCTTGCCTCACCCTTAAACTCACCTTCGTCTTTGAACGTCAGGATGATCGTCGATAACGTTCTTCAAAAACAACGGATATGACGTAAATACTTCAGATATATTCTTTTTCACTATTTCTCCATATAACAGAGGAAGCTCCCAACATGGGTACGTCTCAGGGACGTACCACGATTCCTTAGTTTTATTTATGGGTTTTACTATTTTGATTGCCCCGACTGCTGGCAATAGATTGTAGAGTTCCAAGAACTTGGTTTTTGTTTTATTTGCAGCGGCTTCTGAAATATCTATTATAGGGAATTTTTAACAATACGCTCACGGACATTCTACATAAGTTTTGTTTATAATGACACTTATTATGTCGTGACGACAAATGTCGTGCAGTTTAACGTGTCGTGTCATTGTATATTTAAATGAAGTTGTTCACATATAGAACAACGCGATTACCTGTAGTTCACGACTTTTTTGACGTTACGACGACAGACTGTCATGACAATGGGATGAGCTAGAACGACAGTCGTTTGACGATAAATAAAACGTCACGATAAAAATGTGACGACAGATAATCGCAGCTTCAAACGATTCTGTCGTGAATACGACAAGGCGGCTGCCGTGAACACGACAGTCGCTCAAAGATAAAATAAACGTCCACGACACAGTCACGACATATAGTTGTGATATGGGAATAGGCCAGACGCGACACAGTCTTCATCCGGTTCTTAAAAGGCTAGTTGCCTTGGATGTGCTGCCCTGGGTTCACGTACAGCGCCTTCCCTATTATCCATAGAGGTACTGGAGCTGTTGATATGCTCACTTTCCGACACCGTCACTTACGTCTCTCCAGCTCCAAGAAACCTGCGCGTCCGGTACACGAGTCCGTACTTCGTACTCCGTACATTGAATAAATAATTTCTATTACTATTTACTTCAGAGAGAGCTCTTAATAAGTAATATTTTGGTATGGCTACTCCACGGAAGAAACAAACAATGGAACTGCCTTTAGCCTCGATTACTATCGGAATCATAACGCAACAAGCAAAAATGACAGACTGAGCTCAAGCATATGGAACTCCACGTACTGTTGGCGCACGTATTACGGTCACTAAGCAGTTTTACTAAATTTATTATACTGTGAAATACTCAGTGTTAGTAAGAGCGGAACAACCGGAAACAATATGCCTAAGTGACTGACATAATATGGCTACCATCCTTTACGATATATTCCCGATGGTTTCGCGTCTTGGTACCACGTAATACGATACTATAGTATATGTCTATATAAATCTTTTTTGAAGATGGAGTAAAATGATAGTTCATTATGCAAAAGTGTTGCCCACTTGCAAGCACCTATTACAGAGATCGGAGTCGATAAATATTCTATCAACTATCGACTGAATGTTGGTCATGCTTATGCAATAAATAGCGGAACTCGTTTCATTTAAATGATCATCGGCCCGTTATTCATCCAACTACTAGGCGCAGATTTATTTGAATTGTCTATTATTGTATGTTCATTCATAAATACACTGCATTTAGAACTAAATATATCTATTAAAAATACAAAAAGGAGACATATTATTTTAAAGTTTTTCATTTTAATTCGAATAGATAATCAAGTCTGCCAGTTCTTGTAAAATGTATAAGAATAAAAATTGATTCCGACACCAATATAACCAACTGTCAAAATAAGAATGAAGAAGGCAATAATGCAATTGGTAACCATTAGAACGTCGTAACGTTCATAATTTAGATATTTTAGCAAAATTTTATCTCCTATCGTAATCTATCGATAAAACTGTTGACAGCAAACAACTACATGACTATTTAAAATTTTATGAAAACTGACAACCCAGCAAATGTCATTTTAGTCCGTCTTGAAAAAAGACAGACTACGTGACAAAGAATCTCCTATGTCGACCTCTCCTACGTAAGGTATCGTATGTCGAAATTACCAAGTTTACAGGGGAGCGTTTTCCCTTCTAAACTTGGCAATTTCGACATTTACGTAGGAGGGGTCGATATGTGGTTTGGATGAATTGACTTCCTCCTTGTATGACCTCCTACCTTCGTTCTTCGTCCTATAAACCTTAAATCCCTCCTTCTTTATGTGTATTCTTCCTTTATTTACATTTTGTGTGATTTTATATGCTCTAATAATATTATGCTTTGGTTGGTTGTTTGTCCATGATTGGTTTTTTTGCCCCAAGTATGATCTCCACAACTACATTCCGTCGAAGAGATTCATCTAAAAATAAATATCTTGCTGCTTCCTAAACGTTGGCGTTTTTAACTGACAACATTCGTCGAAACAATCGAGTATATAACCAGAAATAGAGTTAATTGTTTCACTTCAAAATGACCAGTTTAACTTGAGCATTGCTATAATGGACGAAAATTGCACTATTACATATTTAATTACCAATGAAATGTGATTCCGTTTGTTTTGTAATTAGATGTTTTGCTGTTTTTCCCACAACACCGAATAGAACAGCACAACATTGTTAGAGATATTATCTTTATTACAATAAATACAGAATATTTTTTGAAATATACGGAGACGTACACACAGGTCAGTTGTTGGCGCTGTATTATTTCAAGTTTCTAATGAGTGATTTCAATGCAAACGAGAGTTGATATTTAAAAGTGATATAAGCCCCTTTTACCTGATGAGTTGCCAGGTATGAATGGCCCTTATTTCGTCTCTATTTCTGGTTATATACTCGATGATCGAAACGGACACTGGCCCAAGCCTAGTGGCCGCCTGTCGCAAACTGTCGTAGTAAAACTGACAAGTGTAGTACGTATGAGCTTCGTTGTCACGTAGTATCGTATTTCGTGGTAAACCTCCAGGATCCTGTACTGTATAGTTAAGTGTTGCAATATTACTTGTGTGTACATTCGGCGTTTCCGTAGTGTAATCAAATTCATAAATATCATTATTGGTATCATTTGCAATCAAATCTCCGGCATGCAGGTACGTGAGTTCGTTGCCTTCGTCGTACGTTTCGTTGATGTTCGTTGCAATATTATTTCTAATTGCAGTTTTGTTTAATCTTATTATTTGTCCATTTCTTAGACCTTCCATATCGAAATTATTTTCAGAATACTCTAGGTAATCTTTGACAAGTTCCTCGATTGTCATATATTTTATTCCTTTGATATTTTCTTCTTTTGATAATTTAGTTTTGCAACGTTTTGTAGGTTCTTTGTTTTTTTGTTCTTCTTTAAGATATTTTATTTTTGTTTGCTCGTTTTCTTTGTGCTGAGTTCTTCTGTAGTCCAATGGATGTAAATTAGTCCCTTTTTGATCATTGCTTTGTTTGGTAGTAGTTCCGAATCTTCTAGCTGAAAAGGCGTAATTAAATCGTTACTTCATTTTAAACTTAAAGCAAAAACCTTTTGGTAACTGAATAGCCCTTTAGAAATGAGTTCGTCCACAGAAATACTTCTAACCATACCTGTTTCTGCCGCCAAGCAGTAATGTGCGTTTTGGTTTTGAAGGGTAAGAGTGCTGGTGGAAATTAAGGGCACATCGGACTTTTCCAACTTATGACTAAGAGCGTGTTCCCATAATGCCGTAACGTTTTATTTATCGTTGGACGACAGTCGCGTCTAGCCTGTGCCCATATCACGACTATCTGTCGTGACTGTGTCGTGGACGTTTACCGTTGAACGACTGTCGTGTCTAGCTGTCCCCACTAGATTGTGACGATAATTTATCTGTTTACGGCAGCCGCCTTGTCGTTTGCACGACATAATCGTTTGAAGTAGCGATTATCTGTCGTCATATTTTTATCGTGACGTTTTATTTATCGTCGGATGACTGTAGTTCTAGCTCGGCTTCCCATTGTCAGTCAGTCTGTCGTCGTAACGTCAAAAAAGTAGTAAACGACAATTAATCGTGTTGTTCTATGTGTGAACAATTTCATTTAAATATATAAGCCACGACACTTTAAACTGCAGGACTATCTGTCGTCGCGACATAATGGGAACGCGCGGATGCACCCACGCTGTGGCAATGCCCCTCGGATTTTTGCGATTTAGGCACTGCAACTGTTAGGGACAGGCGTGTCGCTTACCACCAGACGCACGACTTGTTCGTCCCATCACTATACCTATTCCTGCTGCCAAGCATGTGAGCATTATCCAGTTTAGAAGGGTAAGGGTGCTGGTGAAATTACAGGCACATGGGACTTGTCAACTCAGATATTTGTGATTTAAAGGCTGCTTTTGCCAACATGAATTCAAAGTTGTGAAATGTACCGTTTTTGCTCTTTGCGTGTGAACAATTAAGAGTTGCTGCTATCTCATCTCGAATTCAAATATTTCAATCGGTTCTATTGCGCGGGTCGAACGGCTGGGACACTGGCTCTATTTCAGAATTTGTTTTTTACAAAGGAAATTAAAACCGTTTGAAAAATGTATATAGTTACTATACGTCATTGACTTACAAATAAATGGACGACGGGTCTAATACAAAAACCACGAAAAAAATATCCCAAGTCATTGACTTACAAATAAATGGACGACGGGTCTAATACAAAAACCACGAAAACAATGTCCCAAGTCAACCTATTCGAAATTTAAATTGTTATGTCATCGCAGTATCGCGCTGTCCGTAGAACAAATGAAGACTAAAGCGGAGTGTCGCGCTCTGTATACGATTTTAGCGCCTTACAAGTGCGGACACTTTTTAGCGCGGACCCGACGTCCATATAATTGTAAGTCAATGTCCCAAGTCAACCTATTTAAACGTAGTGACATGTAAAGGAATATGAAAAAGCTAAAACGTTGAATTCAAATTGTAATGTCATCGCAGTACTGTCTAATTTTGCTTGCTTCGCTGTCAGAAGAAACAAACGAAGACTAAAGCGTGAATGACGCTCTGTATACGATTTGAACGCCCTTTAAGTTCGGACACTTTTTAGCGCGGACCCGACGTCCATATAATTGTAAGTCAATGCTATACGTCTTCTATTTAGTTCGGTTGATATAAAAAAAAAATTGGTATATGCAAAATACCTATTGAATGCAGCAGTTTTCTTGTATAATTTCGAGGTTTGAAAATTTTTACGAATCGTGTTTTCATACCGTACTATATCTTTTTCCCAAAGTGATTGTTTCTTCACTGTTATGCATAATCAACCAAAGCCATTTGAGACTCTACCTACTCGTTAAATGTATATCTACCTATCTAAATTCTAAATTACCTGCTTCCGGATTACGTGTAGTTTCCACGTAATCGACATCTTCTATGCCCGCATAATCCAAGCCAACACAATAACAATGCTTAATTAAATAATATATTATAAAAATATTCAAGTACAACATGTCTGAATTGTTTTTTTTTGACGATTAATTCCGTCGCCAACTGGATTGCGTAACAAAAAGGTGCTACTTGAAATCTGAATTTACTCTGATGTCTTACATTCGTGAGATTTGTTCCTAGCTACATGAGATGCTCCCATGGCCAAATACAATAGGAATGGACTTGGAACTGCTACCCCTAGGTCTAGTATAATATACGGGAGAACAAAACGAAGGAAGTGCCTAAAGCGTCGATTACTACCAGAACCGCTGTCGCCAAAACTTCGCTATAATAATGTTAAAAAGTATGAAATCTTGACAATGATTGATCGTAGTTTTTTTTTTCGTTTAAAAAGATGTAACAAATTCTGGACTATTACCTTTTAATTAGTCGCGTCAACAAAGTTGGGTGTGCTACACACCCCACGCGAGCCCAATTTAGAATCGGGAAATAAAATACGAAATACACGCAAAATCAGACTATTATTAACATTGATTTACAAATAAATAGACGACGGGTCTAATACAAAAACCACGATAAAAATGTCCCAAGTCAACCTATTTAAACGTAGTGACATGTAAAGGAATATGAAAAAGCTAAAACGTTGAATTTAAATTGTAATGTCATCGCAGTACTGTCTAATTTTGCTTGCTTCGCTGTCAGTCGAACAAACGAAGACTAAAGCGTGAATGACGCTCTGTATACAATTTTAACGCCCTATAAGTTCGGACACTTCTTAGCGCGGACCCGACGTCCATATAATTGTAAGTCAATGATTATTAATGACAATATTCCGAGACACTTATTTTCTAACTTATAAATGTCTTTCTGACTTATAAAACGTATTATTAATAAAAAAACAATAATATATCGAGTTCGTAGGTTTTCGCAATTGTCACACATATGAAATGAAACTATTTTTCCAGATTTCAATCGTGTTTATTTGTTTTTTCAAACAAACCGACGTTTCGGGCCCTTTACAGGTCCTATGGTCACGGTTGACTGAGGTGGTACAGTCTTCAACCAGTTATGTCTAATATGAATGCAAACCACCCTATTTTTTCACTACAGTTACAATAGTTGAATACCTTATTTTTAATTTTACAAAGAAAACATTCCAATTTACGCTACATTAAGTTTTACAAATTATGAATTTTTATTAAGTTCAATTTATTATTAATTAATAATAGAAATTACAGTAAACTAAAACATATTAATTAGTACTGCAGTCTTGTCTGTTTGGGATTTTTCATGAGAGGAAATACTGGATTCCAAACAGGTGGTACGGAGAAACCATCTCCCCTGTTGAAATTAGGATGTTTTTTAATTTCAATGGCCTCTCAATGGTTTGTCAAACTTAAAAAAAATAGGGTGGTTTGCATTAATATTAGACTTAACTGGTTGAAGACTTTGCCACCTCAGTCAACCGTGGCCATGGGACCTGTAAAGGGCCCGAAACATTGGTTTGTTTGAAAAAAATAAACATACGCGATTTAAATCCGAAAAAATATTTTCTTTTATTTTATTATTATATATATATTTTATTTATTCCTAAAACAATAACATTTGTAAAAGCTAATTTTCTTCATTACAATTTTGGCAGACTAGAATCATGTGGTCATTGTACACATGTTTTAAGTATTTGGAATATTATGCCTTTGTTTTTCGGTCCGTGATTCTAGGACATGTAAAACGACCGGACTGCTCCAGACGCTGATTCAGGGTTCTCACTTTTAAACCTCTTGCGTCGTTTTTGTAACGGGCGAGGTAGTGTGCGAATGTCTTCGTTTTCGTTGTGTTCTTATGCACAGTTATGGTTACAATAACTTCATGATGTTGTCTGTCAATTGCTGCACCATCTCTCAATCATTTAATGCACATGGCATTTTATTTATTTACTTACAGCTACCTCAAAACAAATACAAAAAAAACACATTACAACATAATCTTTAAAACAGCAATAAATATTGTTTTATAAATGTTACTGCAACATATTTTTTGTCCACCTGTATTGTTTAAATAATTGTGTAATAATAAAAAAATATATTTACTTACCTTACTCAAACAGTCGCGTGGGGTGTTATGCACCCCAAACACGCTCTCCAAGCACAACTATACACAAACGAGCGCAGATTACGAATGAATTGTGAAGTACAATCGTATTTACGAAGCTAGCCTGAAGACAGGCACCGTTGAAACCACAATGGGGTGTTCCCACGTGACTAATTAAGGGTTAATATAATTTAAACTTTACGCGTGTCGTTGAAATTTCATGACCAATTATTGCAAATTACGACGTTTTGATTTTATTAAGGGCAAACTTGGGATTGAATACGGTTTCACGCACTATCCGGTAACCGATTTCAATAAAACTTGACACATATGAAAATGTAATTTCATAAACTTTTCAGGTCAGTTTTTTTTTATAAAAAAGCAATTATTTTATTAGGATACAGTATTTTATATGTTGTTTTTAAATATATATTGTTTTCGTCCCCAGGTAGCGTATTTCGAGAAGATCAGAGCAGATATCCAACGCTTGTACTGCGTACGAGTCCAAAGCTGCGTGCGCAGGTTTATTGCTCGTAAAAAGTATCTGCGATTGATGCGAGCACTCAAGGGCCTGCAGGCACACGCTAGAGGCTATCTGGCTAGACTGTACGTATTTTTTATTCAACAATTTTATTTTAACCACTTTTTGGCCGTAGCGTTCGACTGTCCGAAACAATTACTGTCAATTAAGTAATACTATAGGCCTCATAAGAGCTCAAGGTCACTCAAAGGGCAATGGAAAAGGCTATGCTCGGAGTTTCGTTGCGAGATCGAATCAGTAATGAGGATATCCGCAAGGGAACCAGAGTAACCGACATAGCCCTGAGAATTGCCAAACTTAAGTGACAATGGGCAGGGCACATTGCTCGCAGAACAGATGGCCGATGGGGCCGAAGAGTTCCCGAGGGGCGACCGCGTACAGGAAGACGCGGCGTGGGCGGACCACCCATAAGGTAGACCGATGATTGGCGAAGGCTACTGGAATCTGCTAGATACTAGGCATTCTTTGGGAGAGGTCTATGTTCAGCAGTGGACATCTTTGGTTGAAATGATGATGATGAAGCAATAATCGACGAATTCAAAAGACAATGTCAAGTACGGAACGTCACGCGCATCATGCGTTTTAATCGTAGATATAGAGGGGAGATATGTAATGACGCTATGTAAGATCGGGTACCGATGTCGCCACTTTTTAGCTTGTATGCAATTCAAACTTTACGCTCTATTATCTACTACCATAACTTAAAGATTTTGATTTGGTAGGGCTTACAATGTGAAAACGATGTAACACAATTTTAAAATTTAACAAAATTAAACTTACAGTCACTTGATAAGGGTTTATTTCGAAGAATTCAACTTGATATCTCATCACTGTTTCCAGTTCATTAGTTCCACGTTCCAGTATTCATTAGAATAGCATCGTAAAATCGTATTTGAAAAATGGTATACCAAATTGAGGTTATTTTTCATCTATACATCTGTAACTGGTTGCATAGAGCTGTACGAAAAAAAAAAACATTCTATTCATTCATTTAAAGTTTTTATAATCGATTAGTAAATCGAATATTTCAATCGCAATCGAACGAGTATCTAAGTCTAAGGATTTGAAGGAGGATTTAAAATTAAGATGTCGGAAATTTTAAATATGCTTATGTAAGTTATATAAGGAAAACCGCTAGTATGACTCAATTGAACAAATCGATTCATTCAATTAATTACTCGATTTGTAGTTGCCATTACAATTGGCCATCTCTAAACCGTCTATGGTAAGGTCTGTGACTTGTTTGTTTACATTTTGTTAAAAATGGATTGAAACGAAGAATACAAAAATAGTTGTAATTTGCTTACCTATGACATAAAGATTTTTTTACTTTGGCTGTGACATAAAGTATCGGAATTCACTCTGGCATGCTTCCCAGGACATCCTGATCAGAATAAATTTAAAAAGTTTTTTCCCAAATTGGTTTGACCTTTGACTTCTATACAACCTGTGTTTTCATAAATAAGTTAATTATAATTCCTTTTTCACAGAAAAGCCCAAGAAGTCCGCCGCAATCGCGCAGCGGTTAAAATCCAGAAGACCGTCCGTGGTTGGCTGTGCAGAGTCAAGTACCAGCGGCTACGAGCGCTGGCCATCGGTCTTCAGGCTCGCGCTAGAGGCTACCTCGCTCGACGACTATATAAAAACAAGAAGATTCTAAAAGCTGTAAGTATTCTTTGCTTGTGAACTCGAAGATTGATGACTTTCCGGCAGATTCCCCCTGGGTCTACCAATACCTTAACTACTTCTAGTTCAAAGTTAGGTTCAGATGGAATTGCATAATTTTATTCCACCTTTCCCTTTCCATCATCGGGCATGTACAAAGGCTGTTGTGGAACCATATGAATAGTCACTGCTAACTAGGCGATGCTATTGTTACAGACTATCACAATCCAGCGCTACGCCCGCGGCTATCTTGCGCGAAAGAAGGTAAAGAAGATGAGGAGACAAATTGTCGTCGCCCAAGCTGCTGTGAGTTAAATAATATTTACAAAACAGAGAACAATGCATAGGTACTATTAAATAATTAAATAGGTATTCGCACACATACCTATTATCTTAACTTTTCGGCCAGATTGTACTGGCTGACTGGTGATATGGTGTTACGTCTCCATCTCGCAGGACTAATATCATAAACAACAACTTTTGCTCCATGACTTTTTACCAAACATAATAAATTTGCCAAAAATAAACTTTTAAGTTTCTGTTGTATTATCTGACACTTTTTAAATCTGTATGTGTCAATCTGTACTCGCCGATTGCCGCGAAGTACTGTCCATCTTACCTTTTTCTGCCACCAAGCCGTAATGTGAGCAATTACTGCGTTCCAGTTTTGAAAGGGAAGGGTAATGGTGAAATTACAGGCACATGGGACATGTCAATTTATGTCTACGGGTGACGGGCGCAGTGGCAGTGCCCCTCAGATCTTTCTGATTTAAAGCTCTGATTGGCACTACAACTGTTATGGACAGGCGTGTCGCTTACCACCAGGCCCACAACATGGTCGTCCCGTCGCTTGGTCTCATAATAATCTCAGTACAAAGTACTACAAAAACCGACCTGAATAGCTGGTGGAATTACAGCTATTTGCCAAGTTTTATTGAAATTTTATTTATTTAATTGTTTTAAGAAAAAAGTATACATAAATAATGTAAAACACCGTTAAACCCTACTTGGGTTTGTTTCGATGCCATTCATTCCTTGCTACGAACACCGGAAACGGACCGGAACGTGCACGAAACTGAATTCACCCCTAGTTTGGTACACTTACAGGTGGAATATTTTCTTGTAATTTAAATGGGACCACTGCTGAGGTAGCCTCTTTCCTACAAAAAAATAATTATTAAAGTCGGTTCACGAAAGCCGCGGTGTTATCGCGTAACATAAATACAACCCCCAACCCCACTCCGTCGTTTTACATTGTACCAGGTTCGACTCCCTAGTTTTAATTTCCCTATGAGGGTAGAAAATCAAACAAGGAAATCCGAAAATTGAATTAATTATAATAGAAAACAAATAAATTACAATTTTTTCTAAAGGAGAATGGGCAAAATACAAGGGCCTTGGACCTGGAAGCGGCCACTTCAAAAACATAGTTTTTATAATTCTTTATGTTACGACAAACAATACTTAGTATGGAGTCAGAGTCGTATTTTGTGTGTAAAAAAAGTTATGACCAATACAATTGTCCAAGTAATAAATGAACACGTGTTACATTTTTGACAAATATACCTTTGTCTACTGGATATTTCTATAAAATAAAACAATGCTTTGTGGAGTCATGCCGCCGGGACCTAAACTAGCCCCCCCCCCTCCCTCCTACCCTCTTATGTGCACGTGCATCCAGGTGCATGCGTGTTTAATTAACTTAGTTTAGTTGTTTGTTGACTTGCTTCACTAACAACTGTTCTGTGCTGTCGATTCTTTGCTGATCCTCATAAGACCTTGATTACTGTTTACCGGACTATTGATTTTGCTTTGCGATTTGTATCGGTGTTGATTCTTGGATAACAACTAGGCTTGATCTTGGACATTCTTTAGTAAAGTGGTGTGTGCGTGACTGAAATGGAAACTTGCATTACA